ATCAACAATATATGTATGTACGTAAAACGCTTAAATGTAGCCTTGTATTGTTCAATAATCTGAATTTTCTAGAAACCTTCCACACGCCTATGAATATAACCAATGCGACGTGCCAAAGAGAATATCTATTATTAATTCGCTATAATTAGTTTGCTATAAAACTTCAGTAGCTATAACTGTGATTGTTATAACGCTAACCAATCGGAAAACTTCAGAATTTGACCAGGGGCATTAATATTTTTACGAAAACATTACCTAACGTCATCGGTGGAAACTCCATCTCTAATAGGCGTATGAACTGTGAAGACTACAGGGCTAGCTAGCTCACTGTTAAGTGAAACGTACCTACATAAACTCTTAATTAACTCGCTCATCGTGAACCCTCGATAAGATGTCAAGGAAGTTCCAGACTAGAAAAAAGGCTTTATATTGTTTGTAAGTTTGTTTATAAATTATTGTTTGTAATAACTATTTGTAATAATGCTATTGTAAATTGTACTGTTGTGTGTATATTAAAACGTATTTGTGTTAAAAAAGAAAACTGTGTATCAATCTTGTTGGCAAACATCATAAACTGACTAAATATCGGCTTTAATTTAAGTACTAAATCCTACAAGTTAACTACTAAATTTAAATCTATCAATGGACTCAATTTCAGGCTATTTGAAATTCTAATACGTAACAGATGGCTACTACTAAACTAGTGGTAATATGTTGTGAATGTTCACAGATTGTTCACTTTATTAAAATACACTTCTATAACACTCCATCAATTTTAACAATTTACATGCATAATAAATTGAGCAATAAAACGATTAGACGCAGTATTCTACCTTTTTTCCAGATAAAATAATGTGTTTTCTGTAGTAACATCCTTTAAGGATGACAATTCACAAATGCATCACTAAAAATAGGCACATTGAAAACATGTGTTCACAGAACTTTGACTAAGCATGTGCAGGAAATACTGTGTTATTCTTACTGTTGGGGATTCTTTGATCATTTGTTGGTTGGCAGCGTCACCTTTCAACATGGTTTCTCGGATTTTTGAAAGTAGTATTACCCAGATTTTTCAACACTTGTTTGATCTATTTAGTAAAGCTGCCTTCTGGTCTAAGTAAGTAGGTATTAATTTCATTTATAACTATTCTTAATGGACGCAGAGGGAATTTCTAGATATTCAGTAGAACAAAATTTTAATAGTTATTTGTACTTATTACTTTGAAACATGCTCAATAATAAAAACACTCATATTTAGTGCATTTGACAAAATAAATTTAAAGGTTTTATATAGAAAAGAATTTCAAAATATGTATATAAAAATAAGTTAGTGGATACGTTTATAATGTTGTTTGATACAATGATTTTGTTACCAGAAAAAAATTATTACTCACAGGTAAACTGTTAGTCTGCAATGTGCATTATCTTTAACTCAGATTTCTTTAAATACAAAATATAAAATAGAATATAGCAAAATAAATGACGCACTATACTTTTAATTCTATCTCCTTATGGCTGTTCTTAACTTTGGTTAGCCATATTTGATCCTAATCTTCCTTAGTTGAATTTAACTTTGGTGACTGTATTCTCTAACGCTGTATTTTTTCGTTTTTGTTCGATTTAATATAGGTGATTAACTTATATCTTATGAACTAGAAAGCGTATAATAAGCAGTGTAATATCGTTATTTTAATGTCCACTTGACTTCTTGGCAGTGAATCCAAACGGAGATATTATATGTTAATGTTTTTATGTTGTGTCTTTTTATGCTTCATCAGAATCAAGCTACACAGACACATACAGATATATATACATATATAAATCAAGGAAAGGTAATTTCGAATTTGTAATGATATAGGTATGGCGACGCAAAAAATTGCTATAAAATAATGTCAATCACCCACCTTTCAGTTCATTGTTATGCAAATCAGTTATATGAATACAAATAGTGACATGTGAGGAGATTTACTGTTTTACAGATAAATTGAGTTTCATACAGCATCATAAGAAACATATACTAATTTGAAGATAATCCGGAATTAGATAAACTTCATTTGCATACACAGACATGATGCATAAAACTGATGGCAGGTGGAGATATGGTGTGTGCAGGATTAAACACTTATGGGTGTGCTGACCTCTTCTTCCTTCAGAATGGAACTATTGATCTCTCAATTTATAGAGACCACATCCTACAATTCTTTGTGCTGCCACATGATGGTACAATTGGACTTCAGTTTGACGAATAATAATTCCAATGCCAACCGTACTAAATTCGCCTTCACATTCTTTGAAGAAGAGGGAACTTAACGAATACACATTTAACAAGTCTCAGTTGTATTTTCATAATTATACATTCTACCTCAGTCGTATTAAGATACTCATGGGAGATACACCATATTACGTTGAGATACTCCAGGCACTAAAGGTACCCTGTGGTCAAGAATATCTCAGAACCTTATCAACTCTCTTATTTCAATTATGTGACGTTGATGTTGGGCGGCCTTTGTTGCTCATGGTAACCGTATTCCATATTAAAGTAAAAGTTCATGTACTATAAAGATATAAGGGAACCCTCTGCCAAGTTTTCATTTGCAATCATAGGATGTATGCCCAATTATTTGCTTTTCAGATCACTCCAAAATCACCAAATGCCTGATTTGCAAAAAAATGAAATGAAGGATGAAGATTAACATTGTTTTATAATAAGGCATATATGCATCTGTATTCAAAATGTTCAAATTATTTCTTGTTTACTTTCATTAACTTTAGCAATAGTTTAAGTGTTATTTCTTATAATTACTTTACAGAGAGAAGTTCACAGGTTGGCGAGTGAAGCGGGTAGTTAACCCTTACATATTTGCCTATTCTTTTCGGAAAGCAAAAGCTCTTGTTATCCTGCTTGCGTTTATTCCAGTGTACTTGTTTATTTCAAATGTAATCCTGTCTTCGAAACTAAAGCTTCGAGTGAAAAAAATCGCACCAACTGAATGGGAGACGATTCAGCAGACTGGTAGGACCCCAAAGCCTTCCTCTTCCCCTCCTTTCGAGCCAGAGGGCTCATTCCAGTTCAACTGGATTGGAGTCCAGGAAGCGAACAGTTGGACAGACAACTGGGTTAATGTGAAATCAGATCTAGACATTTACTCAGCGTATTTTGATAATCGGTCTAGTTTGCTTGGTGGACCAGTGATCAGAATAATTGCAAAAACAGAAACTAAACTCTCGGATTTAGTGCCAAACATTGAGTGCTGGGCTAAGTTTTTCTCACCTGAAAGGGAAGAACATATTGTTAAAATTCAAATGAATGAATCAGATATTGATAAAATTCATAATGCATGCAATCTGATATGTTCCAATGAAATCTTCAGAGAGAGTGTACCTACCTATGTGGGAGTTAAATCAATTTCCTCTTATGAAGATCCAATCTGGATCAAAGTTCACATTATTCCTAACGGTTCGGTTGATTCTCAAGTGAAAATCGCTGTCTGTGTCCCGCCATTTAACGGTTCTATGAAAGAAACGCGTCTATTAGCTGAGTTTGTATCCTTTTACTCTGTGCTTGGTGTCCGTCACTTTTCATTTTATGACTACGGCACAACAACTAAGTTTCGAAGACTGTTGGATGTCATAGCACAGTCTAAAGGCATGTCCGTGAACATTCTTCCATGGACATTGACTTGGGAAACGAATAAAGTTACTTACCCGGCACTGGGGTCCTCTTTTGCCTACTACTCCGGACTCCAAGACTGTGGTTATCGACATATGCATCATTATTCTCACCTGATGTTTCTAGACATCGAAGACTTCCTGACTCCCGTCAACCTAAATCACACAACCTTAGTGGAAGTGATCCAGTATATGGACGCCAATGGTGCTGGAATTTGCTGTGATGTATATAGGTTCACCCAATCTATCTTCTGCTTAAAATTCCCATCTTTCGTTTCGCCTTTCCCAAATTCTTCGAATTTTGTCACATTCTCGAAGCGAATCGCTAGGCCAGCAGTCGTCCTATCTTCCATGTGGCCAGCCTATTTAAGGTACATCGTACGACCTGATAAAGCAGTTTTGTTCGGTCCTCACGACAGTTACTTGCTACCGAAAACCAGCAAGAAAAATACACAGAATCGTGCTTTAGTACACCGCTATCTTGATCTTCCTGGATGTGACTTCAATCAAGAAAAACAAAAAGTTATTTATGTGGACTTAATACCCAACCTGTATGGAGAAGAAATGGTTAAGATAATGTCACCTTGGCTGAAGTACATTTGATATGAAACAGTTTGGAAACAAATAGTGGTATTATTTGTATTTAAAATGTGCTACAGACATAAAATCATATGATATGCAAAGTATTCATAACGGTTATTGTTTCACAAAGGACTAAGTTGAACACGTTCTTTACGAAACAATAATTACTAGTTACAAAATTATATTAAATGTTTTAGATTTAGGTTTCACCAAAAATTTTCTTTATAATCACAAGATCATTACACAAGCTTCCATATTTACCCACTTCTGTTATCTTTAATATAATTGTCAACAAAATAAGTTTTATTTCTCCGTTATAAGCTTCAAAGAGATAATTCTCGTTGATGAGCTTTAGGTTATTGTCAATGCTGCCCGTTTCACGATTACTTTATTGTTCTTCTGATAGGAATTACTTTCTCAGAGAGACTCCACCAGTTGTTTACCTGGAGGTACTTATTACTGCTTTTCTTTTTATTTCGAGGCAAAATATTCCACATATTCACGCTGAGATAACTTTTTTTGCTAGCATTCAGTATACTTTCCTGTTATTATATCGAGAATACTTTTTTTTATACATTCTAGAAGAGACTTACTTTGATGATTTCCTTATTGTTTACTGATATGTATAATTTCTGTTGTTAAATAAATGTGACTTTCTTACTGTCGAGTTACATTCTTTTATACAATTGAATGAGTATGTCTTGTTGTTTCCTCAACGGCTCCTTGGTAAGTATGATAGCCTATACCGCAAAAATCAGGTTTCGAAACCTGCCATGGATGAAAACGGATAGCCCATTACATATTTTTGTGCTTAAAGGCAAACAAACAAGTTGCCTCAATTAAATGTGACGTCCATATTGTTAATTATCACATGACTTTCTTGGTGTTCGCTTTCATGTTAATCTTATGCGGGAAGTGTTTGTCACGTTATATTAACTACAGTTGTGCTAAAATAACATCTCTCGCACCACATATCTCGATATCATGATTCTGAAGATATAAAGTTCTAGTAGATGCAACTTTTACGTATGTCGTAGAAAGTATGTTTATTTTATGCAGGTTTTTCTTTACACTGGTATAATATTTACTGATAAATAAATGTTACGGCCCAAACAGTATGAAAGGTGAAATATCTGCTAAATCTTCTTGTCCTAGTATTGCCACCTGATTCTTCTATTTTTGAACCACACCTGTCAAAGATAAAAACGTGCACGTTTCGTACAAGACATATCACGACATTTCAGCTTATATACTGAACAACGTGCTCTTAGCTGTGACTGTATACAGGAATATTCCAAGATGTCAACATGTGGTACTTCGTTTCTAAGCTTAGTTGTGCAGAAAAAATATGAGAAAATAGTTTTCATTCGATTGAAAAATAAACTTGCTTATTACATTAGTATTAAAATTATGGTTTTATCACAAATTTTAATCATATTGATTTTACATTAGTATTAATTAAGACAACAAAATAACCTAGTTCCAATTATTTTCTATTCTTAATACTTCATTTTTATCAATTCAAAATCTTATCAGCATTAAATTTACAGGATTTTAACTTTAACAGTTCCTGAGAGTTGGAAATGTTTGATAAATATAACTAAACTAACAAACAACATGAAATCAGCACAGTGTTAGATAAAATACAAATCGTTATTAGTATGAGGTTTGGGGTATGAACCTTCAGTAACATATACCAGGCAAAACACAAAACGTTTTTTATTAGGATAATATTTTGGGCACATATTCTTAGTATCAGTATAGTATATATAAAACTGTTTATTTGAGCATAGATCTGTGCATGAATCCTTGCTTTTTAATCATATGAAATACAAAACTGTTTAATTGGACCACCTATAACATGCTGTACGTTACAATAATGCTTTAATTATCTTAACGTACTGTTTGTTTTATTTGCAAAACTTCAAAGAACATTCGTTGGAACACGAAACAAAAATGAATTAGTTGAGGTTTGTATATTTTCAATAAAGATCACTGTTGATTACAGCTGTAATGAAACAAACTATTCTTACTATAAAAATGTGTTTACCATATAGCTGTAATTTCTACTCATTGTTTTCTTTCATAGAATGTTCCCTTGTTGCTCAGTAGAATGCTAAAATTCGTGTATATTTCCCGTGACAGCCACAGAACCACCTTAGCGGCTAACACAAATAAAGAAAAAAAACCTATTTATTAATTATTGTTTTTAGTCGCCTTTTAGAAGGTGAAACTAATATTTTTCGTAGTTATTCCCTAATCTGGACATAAATTATCCAGAATTAATGCAAGCGAAGTTGAAAATATAAAAAGCTAACCTCTTTTTGTTGTTTTGTAACGCTTTCAGTATTTATCGTCAAATGCTAGAAATTATTCACTGTAATTATTTAAAGTATGAAATAAGTAGAAGAATATTGTGGTGGGATATTGAAATAACAAGAAAAAATAATATCCTTTATCTCAAATAATATGTTTGTTTGTTTTTGAATTTCGCGCAAAGCTACACGAGGGCTATCTGCGCTAGCCGTCCCTAATTTAGCAGTGTAAAACTAGAGGGAAGGCACCCACCGCCATCTCTTGGGCTACTCTTTTACCAACGAATAGTGTAATTGACCGTTACATTATAACGCCCCCACGGCTGAAAGGGCGAGCATGTTTGGTGTGACAGGGATTCGAACCCGCGACCCTCTGATTGCGAGTCGAGCGCCCTAGCCACCTGGCCATGCCGGGTCCAAATATTATGTAATAATGTTTAGTTTACAAGTATAATAAAACAATTTTAAATGTTATAAAGACAAGTAGGGATCGATATATACGAAACCAAGCTAGCTATAGTAATATAGAAAATTTTAATGCTACAAAAAGTATTGGAACAAGAAAGTCAAGACTACAAAAACTGAGTTACTTAAAATAAAAAAAATAATATTCCTATTTTGACCAATTGTAATTGTGTTAATCTCAGTCAAAGTATGGATACATTTTTCATATTACTATATCTAGCTAGGTTATCTTTCTTTCTAAAATTAATTTTTGTTACTTGTTTGTTTCATTTTCATTAGCTATATTTTAGTGCGCCAGCAATACCAAGCGGGGGCATGCGTAAACATAATTCGATTTTATTACTCATCACGATCCCAAATATTAAGTACTACTGTACTTGATGATAATAATGTTTAGATTCTGAAATAAAACGAAACTGTATCTGTATTACAAAACAATACAAGTAATTTCCGAACCCTGAAAATATAAATCTGAAGTAATGTCTAGAACATGAAACAACGAGAACATATTGAGTCCCGAATTCCGAAACTTCAGCAATAAAACAGTTTAAAGGACCTAAAAGTTTTGGATTTCAAGCAATAAGAACAAAATACTGTATGATTTTAGAAGAAGAAAAAAAGAAATACCATTTGCAGTTTGAAACAATTATAACGAAATAGAAGTAAAATATTAGGTCGTCTAGAAATTAATGTCGCTTTTTTAGATGAAAAAAACGAACTTACATATCAAAACAAAACATTTATTAAATGAAATAGTCGCCATTATTACCGATGATGATTTTCGATCTTACAATTAGGTTGTTAATGCCCTGATTAAAGAAATCACTTGGTTTTGTAGCAAAAAAACATGTCGATGTCCTCTTTAACACCTTCCACATTTGCATACGTTTTCTCATTAGCATGATGTTGCAGCGAACAAAAAAGATCGTAATTTGATGGTACCATATCTGGAGAATATGGTGAGTGGGGGAGAACTTCCCAACCCAACTCCATAATCTTGTGTTGCATCAAACGTGCCACATGTGGACGTGGATTGTCGTGGAGAAGAAGAAAACCTTCCCGATTGACGAGTGAAGGGCGTTTCTGGTGAAGGGCTTGATTTAAACGTTCCAGTTGCTGACTATATATCTTTGCATTGATAGTTAGCTGTGGATTGAGGAGTTCGAAATGAATTATTCCTTTGATATCACACCAAATGCCAATCATCACTTTCTGCGGATGGAGTCCAGGTTTTGGAGTTGAAAGTGGTTTTTGTCTAGGAATGAGCCATTGTTTTTGGCGTTTAATATTCGCATAGAGAATCCATTTTTCATCGCCTGTGACAATTCTGTCCAAAAATGGTTCACGCGCATTACACGCCAGAAGAGACGAAGCAATGTTCACACGTTGGAAACGATGATCAGCGGAGAGTTCGTGAGGCGCCCAAACACCTTCTTTATGGAGTTTTCC